ATAGACCTGGAAGGATCGGAGCGTCTCAGCGTCGTCTGAACACGAAGCCTCTGTGTGCCTTGTAAGGACCATTGGCCTGCGTCCTCCTAGCACTAGGCCCATGCCCAATGTACTTGCTAGATAATGCAAAACCCTCTCAGCGGCCGACTAGTGCTGTGGTCGGTGTCCGCCTGTGGCCACAAGCGAGCCAGGATGCTGAGTGGGTATGCGAGATCTGGACAAGTTCAAGTCATCAGGTACATGAGGCAACCCACCAGCTCTGCATATGGACCACTAGGCTCTACTGACTCCTCATGGACTGGAGCCAAGAGCCTGTGATCTACTACTGGCAGAGGTGTGGGCTGTGCGGACGAGAACAAAAGATTGAACCTTTGAAGGACCTGGCGCACCAAGTGTGACTGTGTGAGAGTGATAGCACGTGATGCTCTGTCCCTGGAGATCTGCGGCCCAAGGTAGCGGCGCAACTCTCCTAGGTCACTGCAGGTGTGTCTCCTCAGTAGCTTAGCCTTCACGGAGGCAAGTGCGTCTCTATCTGCAGTAGCGAAGACTAGGTTATCTACGTAGACAAGGATGTAGAACGGTGTCTTGCCTGATCGAACGAACAGAGAAGGGTCTGCAGACGACAGGAAGAACTGCAGGTCAGATAACGTGGTACGCAGCGTGTCGTGCCACTCACGGGTCGCCTGCCGTAGGCACTAAACCGGGTGCCGAAGAAGCCACTCGGTCCAAGGGGCGAAGGTGCCGGTGAAGCCTGGCGGACGGCGCAGGTAGACCTGTTCGTGCAGACTGCCCTAGAGAAACATTGTAGAGAAGTCGAGGGAGTGCAGCTCATAGTGATGCTGTATTGCTACGAGTAGCAACGTAGCGTGCCTTGAACACCGGTGTCTCTCCAGGAGGGCGCTTTATTTTGAAGAGCCACCGGCCATCAACTACGTCCACCCCAGGGTGGGGAATTGCGTCAACATAGGTGTCGGTGGATCTCCTAGATGCCATCTCCGGGTCCATGGCAGCTATCCGCTGAAAGGCCCATGGTCCTGAGGTTGCCTCAGCGTAAGTGCGAGGGGTCCGGATGTCAAGAGCGTCTGGGTCACCCTCAGGGACTAGAAGCATGGAGCAGAGATTGGGAGCGGCCTCGGACAGGAAAGCAAGCTCGTACTGTCTGTCCTTTAGGACGTCACTACCAAGGCCAGGTGCACCCCCAACGGACGGAGGATGGGCAGGGTCAGAGTGGAGCGTAGTGGTGTAGTCAAGGCAGCGGGTAGAGGCAAATTCGGTTACGGCAGCGACAAGAGCATCAAGACTGGAGACAGGAACGGAAGGGTCGGTAACAAGAGAGGCGAGGACACGAGGAACAAGCGGACTAGCGGCACGGAGGAAGTCAGAGAGAGGAGGCGGAGAGACAACAAGCGACGACTGAGGAGGCGACGGTAGAAGAGGAGCACGAGACGCGTGAGAGCGGAGCAACATAGGGTGAGAGCGCTGGACAAGTGATATAGGACGCGCACGAAAGGCGCGGTGAGACCACCAGCGGGAGGGGGGGAGTCCGTTCATCAAACAAGGGAGGAGACACAGGAGGAGAACGAGGGGGGAAACGAGCCGGGGACGAGTCCGGCAGAGGAAACACATGGCCGTAGATGGGGTGGGGAGGCGGTGGCGGGGGAGGCGCAGGCGGACGGTCGGGGGAGGAAAGACCCAGTAGGCGAAGGGCGGACACCGGCGGCGACTGCTGCTACTGCTCCACGCCGACGTCGAAACCTCCAGCCGCACCACAGCTACCTCCAGGACGCTCCACAATAGCACCCCCATATCGAGAATCCTCTCCAGCACCGGTGCCACCCCCAGGACCGCCAGGACAAGCCACGACCGTAACCCCAGGACTAGCACCCCCATAACCAGCACCCTTAGAACGAGAACCCTCTCTAGCATCGATGCCACCCCCAAGACCGCCAGGATAAGCCAGGACAGTACCCATAGGACTAGCACCCTTCTCAACGCCCCCACCCCCAGAGCTCGCGGACCCCTGCGGCGGCTGCGACTGCGGCAGCGATGATTGCGGCTGCTGCTGCGGCTGCGACGGCGGCGATGGTGGCTGCTGCTGCGGCAGCGACGACGGCGGCTACTGCAGCGACGGAGGAGGAGACACCGGCTGCTATGTCAAGAGTAAACAGGCCAGACACCAGATCCCGGGGGAATGTGGTGAGAGGGGCACCAGTGGCGGCCTCGGTACAGACCATGTACAGCTCGTGTTTGGGGATTGTTGTGGTGACGCCAAGGTCCTGAAGACAGCCGACACAAAACTAGGTTCATGGAGAACGAGGGGATGTGCAGGCCTATAAGAGAGCCTGAGGGAACCGCCAGACAGAGAAGGGTGGTGGAGCTACGAGCAACTACGTGACCTGAGGAGGGGTCAGCAAACGCGACAGTGGCAGGGGCGGCAAGCGTTGTGAGTGCAGTGTGGTCGCGGAAGAAGTAGGCAGGCGCTCCAGAGTCTAGCGTAAAGGAGAGCAAAGCGACAGCAGCAGCCGGTGGAGGGGCTAGCATGGAGCCTAGGCTAAACAAAGCAGAAGGTCCTACGCTTGACGCAAGAGAGGAGCCTAGATTACATACAGGGGGCACACCTACACTAGGCAACACATGGTAATAGGGTCCATTGGCACTAGATTCGTCAGCATACATGGCATACATAGTAGACCGAATCTGATCCACATCCATCTCAAAGACCGGCACACGGTGACGTACCAGGCTGTGCCAGTCTAGGGGATCTGAAGTAGGGCCGATCCGGAGACGGAAGAGGTCGTTGAGGCGGCGGTAGCATCGAGCCGCGGTGTGACCGAGATAGCCACAGACAGTGCTGCGGCGGGGGCCGGAATGAAGCTGGTACTGGCATATGACCACTTTGAAGCTGGTGCTGCTGCTGCTGATGCTGATGCGACTGCTGCTGCTGCTCCCGTTGTTACGCCAGGGCACCAGTCCCAGTCCCCTCGTCTGCACCACCGTCCCCTCCACCACTCCTGCCACCCCTCCCGCCACCACGCCCCCCTTGGGCCTGGCACCCCCTACTCTGACAAGACTGCATTGAGGCCGCCACAGCGGACTCAGTAGCAGAGGCCGTCTCAGTAACACTGGAAGAGACGTCAAAGTAAGTGCACTGGGAGGGAGCACAACCCTGGAAGATAGGGACTGCCGTTGTACCGCTCGTCTGAGTGATAGTGCACTGGCGGGTCTCTATCGCGGAAAAGGTAGTGACAAAGTCAGCGAGGGTGAGGTCAACGGGGTGGAGGCCAAGGAAGTGGTCGCGGGCAGTGGCTATGCGGTCAGGAAGGCACATGGCAAGGAAGTAGAGGGTAGCGCCGAGGGGGAAGGCAGTACAAGGAGCTGAGCCTCAGTGCTAGCAGTGCGGTAGTTGGCCTCGAGATCAGCGACAGTGGGAAAGGACGCAAGGTCAGGGAAGAGCAGGAGGATAAGAAGACCGTCGGCAGAGGCGAATGAGGGAGTGGAATAGCGCGCAATGACGGCATCTAAGTACTCTTGCGCACTCTCCAGGGCCTGGTAGCGGAGGCGCTCAAACAGGGAAAGGGCGCGTCTGATAGCAAGCTGCGCGACTTCGTCATATGACTCCCAGACGGAGCGGGCGAGCTCAAAGCTGCAAAGGCCTCACGCTCAACGAGCATGGGGGCGTTAGAGAGGGCAGCAGGTGGGTTGGGGCAGGGGAACTTACCGTCGAAGTGGACCATCACCACGGGTGCAGCAGCAGACCGCTGCGAGAGGAGGAAGAGGAGAGTGCGGTGAGGAGCGGTGGAGAGCGGCGGTGAAGATGGCCAGCAGAAGCGCCGGCGCAGAGGAGAGAACCAGGGCCGGCTCGGCGGCTCGGTGGCTCGGCGGCACGGCTACTTGGCGGCTTGGCGTCTCGGCGGCTCGGCGGCTCAGTGGCTCGGCGGCTCGCGGCTCAGCAGCTCGGCGGTTTGGCAGCTCGGCAGCTCGGCGGCTCGGCAGCTCGGCGGCGCGGCAGCTCGGCGGCTCAGTGACATGGCGCGGCGGCAGGAGCTAGCGCAGCGCAACAGCAGGGGCTGGCACGAAGTGGCGAGGCCGGTCAAAGTGGCGGGGCCGGCGCGAAGTGGCAAGTCCGGCGCGGAGTGTCAGGGCCGGCGCGTCTGGCGAGGCCGGCGCGTGCGCGGACGGCGCGGAAGGCGCAGGCACTGCGCGGACGGCGCGAGCGTAGCACGGACTGCGCATGCTCGGGCTCGGACGGCGTGGACAGCGCGGATGGCGTGGACGGCGCAGGCGGCGCGTATGGCGTGGACGGTGCGGGCGGCCCGGACGGCGCGAGCGTGACTCGGGCGCGGCTAGGGCTAGGGCGCAGGAGCGGCTCGAGCGCAGCTCGGGCGCGTCTCGGCACGGCTAGGGCTAGGGCGCGAGTGCGGCTAGGGCTAGGGCACAGCTAGGAGACGAGCTAGAGCTAGGCCTAGGGCTAGGGGCGGAAGCGTAAGCGAGGAGGGGGGACCTAACCTAGCGTGATACCATCTCAAAATAACGCAATGACTAGAATGAGGCATACAGGCAGGTTTTGTGCTATGGCGCTGTACTCTCTATAAGCATGTACCTATCTAGCCTAAAACAATATATAAATATGTTGACAGTACTGCCATGACACCAGCGTAGATCTCAGTCTCACAGCTGGAATGTACAACAGACGACGAGCACGTGGACCTCCACGAGATAGCGCCTACACCAAGGCTAAAGCAATAGCCCTGAGAGGACCTGAGCGTCTTAGCGTCGTCCGCCCACGAGGCGTCTGTGTGTCCTGTGACCAATGGCCCACGTCCTCCCAGCACTAGCCCCATGCCCAATGTACTCGCCAGATATGTAACACCCACTAGGCAACCGACCAGTGCTGAGGTCGGTGTCTGCCTGTCGCAACAAAGTGTGCGAATTTGGATGAATGCAGGTCATCAGCTAGATGAGGTAGCCCACGGTCCCAGGATGGAAAGAGCCAGTAAAGCTTAGCGGACGATGCAGGTAGATTTGCTCGTGCAGACTATGGTGGAGAAACGTTGTGGAGAATTCAAATGAGTGGAGCTCGTAGTCGCGCTGTGCTGCTACGTAAAGCAGCGGCCGAAGTGTGGTCATCTTCGGGGTAGGGACGAAGGTCTAGGAGAAGTCCACCCCCTCGCGCTAGCTGAAGCCTCTAGTAACGTAGCACACCTTGAACACCTGCAGCTCTACAGGCGGGCGCTTCACCTTGAAGAGCCACAGGCCATCAACTACATTTGCCCTAGGTGGGGGAACTGCGTCGACGTATGTGCGGGCGGATCTCCAAGATGCCAGCTCTGTGTCCATGGCAGCTATCTCCTGAGAGGCCCAGGGTCCCGTAGTCGTTTCAGCGTAGGTGCGAGGGGTTGGGTTGTCAAGAGCGTCTGGGTCACCCTCGAGGGCTAGCAGCATGGAGCAGAGACGAGGAGCGGCCTCCGCAAGGAAAGCTAACTCGTACTGCCTGTCCTCTATGACGTCACTGCCAAGGGCAGGTGCACCCCCGAAGGGTCGACCAAAGCAAGCGCATAGTCAAGGCGGCGAATAGAGGCAAAGTCAGCGACGGCAGCGACAAGAGCCGAGAGACTGGTGCCAGGAACGTACAGGCTAGTAACGAGAGATGCTAGGACTGAAGGAACAAGATGGCGAGCATAATGGAGGAGGTCAGAGGGAGGAGGCGAGGAGACAGAAAGAGACGATTGAGGAGGCGACGGGAGAACAAGAGCAAGAGGAGGACGAGACACGTGAGAATGGAAAAACATAGGGTGGACACTCGGAATGGGAGAGACGGGGCGGGCACGATAGGGACGGTGAGACTAGAAGTGGGAGGGAGGCATCGGGTCAGGAGACAAAGGAGGAGACACAGGAGGAGAACGAGGGGGGAAACGAGCCGAAGACGAGTTCGGCTGAGGGAACACGAGGCTGTAGATAGGGGAAGGAGGCGGCGCCGGGGGAAACGCGGGCGGGTGGTCGGGGGAGGTGGAGGGAAGACCGAGGAGGCGAAGGGTGGACACTGGCTGCTGCTGCTGCTACGGCTACTGCAGCTGCTGCTCCAAGCTGACACCAAGACCTCCAGCCCCACCGCGGCTACAGCCGGTACTCGTCGAGACAGCACCTCTAGGACCCGCACCCACAGGACTAGCACCCCCAGAGCTAGCAGCCCCCTCAGAACTAGCACCCCCAGTGTGAGACTACGACCCCGTTTCGCCACTTATCCTTTTCCGTATTTCCTTTCTCTTTTTATCTCATCTCATTTGGTTTCCTATTCCTAATTTTCCATTATCCTTTGGTTTATCCTGCTTTTATAGTTATATCACCAACCAGGCTAGGGATATACTGGGGCGCCCTATCTAGCGTAATCCTGCCGTAATCCCTTAAAGCCAATAGCCTCGCGTGGCTATACGCAGGGTGATTCTATCTTCTAGAAGGGTCTATTCCCTTTGGATAGGATAAACCTGGTTACCTGATGTACTCTGGAAGTATAAAACCACCTTGTATCAATCGATAGTGCAATCTTTCCTCAACACATTCGATCCTGTAACAATAAGTAATCAGAGCTTTTCTCACTCGGCCGCGCTCAACAAAGCAGCGGCAGCGGAAAAACCTGCCTCGAAAAACTGCCGAGGGCGACGAATTTGACGCCGATTCTGGTAAGCACCAGCTCCGCGTTTTGTGAATTACCCCCCCGCGCGTGTTTTGAACAGGATGGCGACCTTCGACAACGCCGAGTTTACCCAGCAGCTCTTCTCGAGCATCGCAGCCCTTCAGGAGGAGATGCGAGCGGATCGCGAAGCTTGGTGAAACGAGTTCGAGCGAGTAACTCGACTTGCCGGCGCGCAGCACGATTCAATAATGGCGACGACGCAGTAGTCGCAGCAGTTTCTCGGGGCTCCGAAACCGCGCCCACCTGAGCCGTTCGATCCGAGCGATCGAAACTCCGACGCCCGCAGATGGATCGCCGGCATGGAGATCTACTTCGCAGCCGTCAGATGGAGCTCGCCAGTCTGGGACGGTCAATGCGTATGACTCGCGGCGACGCTAATGCAAGGGCCGACACTCAAGTGGATCGGCGGCAACAGCACCTTCATCCACGGTGAAGCCACGTGGCAGCAGTTCCGCACCGACCTGCTGAAACGCTTGGAGCCAATAAAATCAGGTTTCCTTGCCCGGGAAAAAAATCATCGCCATCGACAGTTCGAGAGTGTAGCACAGTACACGCAGCAAATGGAAGAATTTTATAACCGCATTCCTGACCTGACTGAAGGGGAAAAAGTAAAGTCTTATCTCGCCGGGCTGAAGACTGAAGTCAAACGCCAGGTAGCAGCGTCAAACTACGCGAGCTACAGTGACGTCGTTTCGGCAGCGGAGCGCTTCGACATGGTCAACGCCGGGACACGACGGGCGCACGTCGGTAGTACGCGATAGGGCGACCGCTCGGCTCACCACATTCGCCGACCCGATGGAAATCGACAGGTTCTACGGGCGGCCACATAAAAAAAACACCAACTACACGTGTGATTTTTGCGGGGTGCCGGGCCATCGAATCTTCGACTGCACCAAAATGAAAGCTGCACGTAGAGTATCGGGCACGCAATAGTGGCGGAAATCCTTCGGCCAATCAGAAGACAAAAAATGGGAGTCGCCAGTGATTACGGATCTAGCTGGCAAAAAAGAAAAGATCCGTAAGCAGCCGCGGGATTCCAGGAAAATCAACTTCGATGAAGCTGATTCGACGCGAGCAGGAGGAAATGATGGGGGGAAATCTCCACCCCACAACCAGTCTTCGCCAGGGAAAATCGCCGAGAAGAAATCCGACTCCGCAAAAAAAGACTATGCCGAGACTGGGAAACTCCTTGAAGACCCAAGAAATTATAAGGATTCGTTAAAGTTATCTTATAAAGATGCTTTAATGAAAACTTATGATTCTCGAGGGGCTAGAGCCTTGGAGAATTTTCGGGAGGGACTCCAGAAGAAGCAGAAAAATGTGAAGATCCTACCGGTACCAGATAACTTGGGGAAAAGAATAAGGAGTGTGGAAAGAAGCCGACCTTTTCACGAAGTCAACGTCCTATCCCGACACCAGCCCACAACGACTACCCGTTCCCCAGGGAAGACGTCGGTGGAGCTGAAGCAGCTCAAGAGGAAGCTCGAGGTCTACAAGAAGCTGCAAAACCCCCGAACTCCTCCTCCGTATGCATCCAATTCAGCAATTTCGGCGCCAATGACGCGCACAATCGTCAAGGAAACCCTGGGCCCTGGAGAAGAGCCGTTCTCCAAGCAGCCTCGGCCAGCTGCCAGCTCAGGAGTTGATAGTAACGAAAAGGTGTGTACGGACTATTGGGATGTACCCTATGACCCTATTAATGAAACTATAGTATCTTTGGGTACTCCGAGCAACGCCCGCCCCTCGTACTCGAGGTCATCTGCAAAGGACGACGCCTCCAAGCACTCGTGGACAGCGGAGCATCGCACACCATCTGCGACAAGGCAGTAATCGACCGACTTCGGGAAGAGTACAACGATGGTGGACGGCAGCAAGTTACCAGTACACGGCGAAGCAGTGTTACACCTACAAATTGGACCACTGCGCTAGAGACCTGCACTCCCCATCACCAACATCAAAGGGCTTGACCTAATCTTCGAGCGAAACTTCCTAAAAAGATTCAACCCCGAGATCAACTGGGTAAACCGCACCGCAAGCATCTACAACAATGGAAGGAGAGTCCAGCTACCCAACTGGGACGATACAAGAGATATCCCAGTGGAGACAATCGCACGATTTGAGAAGGACGTGGAGCGAACCGACACCGGGTTCCTGTCGATAGCAACAGATGTGGATAACGGCGGGGAGAAGACCTCGGAACCTCTAGGAAAGATCAAGGAATTACTGAAGGAGTTCCAAGACATTCTTCATGAAGACCATCCGAGCGAGCTACCGCCATATCGAACGCATCAACATGAGATAGTGGAGGAACCAGATTCAAAGCCGACCTTCCGAGCACCGTATCGGCTCAGTCCCAATGAGTTGACCAACATGAAAAAACAGATCGAGTATCTCCTAGCCAAAGGGCTCATCCGACCATCCACTTCGCCATACGGTGCCCAGTGCTCTTCACACCGAAATCGGACGGAAGCCTGCGCATGTGCATCGATTACCGAGCTCTCAACATGCAGACCATCAAGAATAAATATCCGATACCACAAATAAATGAAACAAGCATACAGCAATATATAGAAAGTAGGAAATAGAGCAGGTGTAGAATACAGTTGAAGGAACGGTTATCGAGTCGCACAGCGACTCGATCGTCGGTTCGGTTACCACCCTTGCAGTCGTAACGGTCAGTCGCAACCTCTGGTTGCGACCCTTTTAGTCCCTTCCTCCTTTCGCGTTCTTTCGTCCAACCTCCTCGTGTAACCTCCGTTGACTCGCGTACTCGATACGACTTTCCTCGAGTGTAGTGTTACACTTCATAAACGCTCAAGTCCTCGAGGTATTTCCAACACTCCCCTTAGTTTTTGGAGTGCTTGACGTGTCCGGACTGGGTGACGTTTATCTGCCCGGTCAGCAGGATGCAATAATCGAATTTTGACTTCCCTGTTTCTTCGTCAGGTAAAATGCTGCCATTTCTGTCGTGGGGCAGTAACTGAGTTGAAGTCTCCCCTTTGCGATCTCATCCTTGACGAAGAAATACCGCAGGGCGATGTGCTTGGTTCGGTTGGCGAACCCGTCTTTGTTTGCGATTTTGATCGCGGATTGATTGTCGCAGAGTAACGAGAAGGCGGGCATGGTCGCAATTTTTGCTTCCTCGAGCAGCTCCCGCAGGTAGAGTCCTTCTTTGGTCGCAGTGCAGAGAGCGATATATTCCGCTTCAGCCGAGGATAGCGCGATTAATTCCTGCTTGCTCGATTGCCAGGAGATAGTCCCGATAGGCTCTAGTCGGTAGATGTAGCCTGTTCTGGAGCGCCGATTCTCCCTGTCTCCAGCGTGGTCGGTGTCGACATAGCCGAGTAGTTGTACGGATGATGGCGTTGCTTTGCTGTAGGTAAGTCCGGTCATCGGCGTAGAGACGAAGTAGAGCAGTGTCTGATTTAGCTCCTCGAGATTCTCTTGCTCCGGCTGCTTCAGGTATGTTGCTAGTTGGCTCGCGTTGTATGACAGATCCGGTCGGCAGGTTACTGCTGCGAATAGCAAACAACCGAGCTTCTATTGATATTCCTGGATTTGTTTCGTGGGGAGCTTTGCGAAGGTGTCGCTGTTGTTCCCGTAGCGATAGGGAGTCGCAACTGCAACCGGCGTTAGTCCGAATTTCTTCGCGACAATGCCTGCGTACTTTCCGGCGTGTAGGTAGAACGCCGAATCTTCTTCGACGACGTTCAGACCTAGGTACTGGCTCAGGGTGTCTGACACCGTGAGTGTTAAGTTGCTCCTCAGCTCCCCTTCAAACCAAGTGACGACGTCGGTAGTGGAGCCGACGTAGAGCACGTCATCGATGTAGACGATGAGTAGGACGAAATCCTCCCCCTTCTGTAGTCGGTACATCCCTTGGTCGTGTGGTAGCTGCAGGAAGCCGATCCTGACGAGGCGGCCGTGAAGGTGCTGCTACCAAAGCCGCGGGGCTTGCTTAATTCTGTAAAGGGATTTTATCAGCTGGCACACTTTTGTGGGGTCGTTGATGAATCCATGGGGTTGCTCGACGAAGATTTCGGCGTCCACAGGTGCGTACAGGAAGGCGTTGGTGACGTCGATCTGGCGCAGTGGTAGCTTTTTCGTGGCCGCGACGGCGAGCAGAATGCGCAGACAGGTATGTCGGGAGACTGGGGCGAATGTCTCCGTGTAGTCGGTTCCGTATCGCTGATTGAATCCTCGTACAACCCAGCGAGCCTTGAAGCGTTCAATGGAGCCATCCGCATTAGTCCTGATGCGGTACACCCACTTCCCCGAGAGCACACTTTTCCCGTTGGTTTTTGTTGCAGGTACCAGCTTCCACGTGTTTCGGTCTTGCAGGGCCTTCATTTATTTTTCCATTGCTTCCTTCCATTTCGCCTTGTGTTCCCCCCCCAGAGCCTGCGACAGAGTCATTGGCTCGCGCGATGACGGCGGCGGCGGGCTCTGGACGGCGACCCATAGTCCAAGTATCTGCACGCCCGTGGGTGTGTGTCGAGGGGAATTTTCATTCCCGGGATAAGCTGCTTCGTCACCATCTTCGGGGTCACGTAAGAAATTTGGTCCAATGCGTTCAGAGACATTTGCGTTGACCGGTTGACGTATAGTGTAACCCTGGTCAGCGAAGTGGTAGTAGGTGTCGAGGTTGTTACTATCGAGAGGATTTTTGTCGTCGAGCGGGATGGGCACGGAGCAGTAAGGGAGTGGTCCGGCAGCTTCCGAGGCTTCAGGTACGGCTTCTTCTGCTGCGTCAGCTTCGGCAGTACGGTCGGCGAAGGACCGATGGCCCTCGAAGCCGTCGGTGGGGTCTGCTGTGTTGGCGACGTTGTCCAGGTAATGCTGCAACGTCAGTCGCTCGTAGAAAATCACATCACATGAGGCCACGGTGTCTTTTTTCTGGATGCCGAGAAGTTTCCATGCTTGGAAATGTTTTGCGATGCCGAGGTGTAGCCCCCATCGTGCTCGTTGAGAGACTCGTCCTGCTCGAGCTGTGTGGGGTCTGTACTGTACCATGCAGCCGAAGACTCAAAGTAATTTTGTGCTGCCCTGTTTGCCTGTCCACAGTAGGTGCGGTGATGCGTTGTTGGGAAGTGATGTCGAGGACAGCAAATTGTGCAGGTGGACTGCATGCGTCATCGCGTCAGGCCAAAGCGTGTTGGGCAGTCTCAACCCCAGGAGTAGCTTCCGCATTGTCGTCAGCAAGGTTCTGTTCATCCTCTCTGCGACCCCCTGCTGCTGGTGAGCGTAGGGCAGAGACACCAGGCGTCTGATGCCTCTTTCTGCCAAGTAGTTCCTGAATCGTTGTGACTGGTACTCCAGTGCCCCATCTGATTGGAAGCTCTTGAGTTGGGAGCCCGATTCTCGTTTAGCGATGGGGAGCCACGTCGTGAAGGCTTCGAACGCTTGATCACGTGTTTTGAGATTGTAGTGCCAGATGTATCGTGTTGCTGCGTCGATGAACGTGATGACATAGTTGTACTCTGCTTCACTGTCGTCTCGAGGCATATTTAAAATGTCTCTGTAAACTTTTTCCATCGGTGCGTATGCAGGTGCGCTTGGATTGTGGTGCGACGGGAAAGATTGGTGGAGAAGATCAGCTTCAGGACACGTGAAGCATCGTGCGCGGGGTCGTCGAAGCTCCTGGTCGCTCGTTGTGAGGAGAGCGTCCTTTTCTAATACTCCGGCTTGTATGGTTTGTAGTACTGTGCTATTTGCAGGGTGTCCGAGGTGTTGATGCCAGATGTCGTCGGGAGCACGATGGCCGGGTGAACGCTGGTACGGGTTGGTGTTGGAGAAGAATGCAACGACCGTAGCGGGACTGCAGCAAACTCATCAGGTGATGGGCATGAGCTGATCTGCTTTGGTTGGCGGTCCTCGGATTGCTGGTGATGGCACGTGGCTGGGTCCTGCTGCTGCTACTGCAGGTGATGTCGGGGGAGGGATGCTTGTTGGTACTTGTCGTACTTGTCGGATGACTGCTGATGCTCGCGTTCTTTCTGCTGCAGGGATAGTGTTGGAGTACCAGAAGCCGTCGGGGGTAAAGTTGGGGTCAAGGTCCGGGGGGTGCGTCCAGGCGGCAAACGACACGATGCCATCGCTGTCGGCAGTACCGCGGACGGGGACGGAATCCAGCACGAAGACGCTCGACTTCAGGAGAGCGCGACTGATGAAGAGGCCGCCCTTCCCGTGGTAAAGACGAAACTCGTTGGCATCCGAGTCGCATTCCAGGTGAATTCCCTTCGCCATTAACTGACTGATGCTTAGTAGATTGTATCCCAAATTGTCGACGATGAGAACTTTGTTGAGTTGTAGTATGACGTTTGTCTCCATTGACTGAAACTGAACGACTCCTTGTCTGTTTGTTTTCAGATTCTCGTTGTTGGCGACGGTGATGATGACATCACGGTTGAGGCGTCGCTCTCGTTGCACGAATCGCTCGGAAGAACACATGTGTTGCCCGCAACAGCTGTCCAAGAACCAGGTGTTTCACGCGGTGGATTCGGCATTGGCGACTGCAGCATACGTGGGGTTGACCTGAAGACCTTGTGAGCGCGGCGGCAGTTCTTCTTCGTCTGGAGTGTAAGTGGATGGTGATCCGGGTGTGCAGTTGTCGATGCGGACCATGCAATTTATGATATTCGGTGCGCCTTGTGCAGATGTGGAGGAACGTCTTGGCGGACTTTCTTGGGTGGAAGCGACTTGCGGGTCTGCTGGGCGATAGACTCAAGGGCGAGTACAGTTATCCTTGGAGTGTCCGGATGTTTGACAGTTGTGGCAGAACGGCGGCACAATGGTGAGTCCTCTGGTGTCATGTCGGTTCTGCTTTTCACGTCGGTTGTAGTTGTTGTCGTTTCTTCTTTGGGTATAGAAGACTAATGGTTGCTGCTTGTTTCGTGGTTGACTTTCTTCAAACAGGTCCATCTCCTGTTGTTCAGCATGAAGCTCGGCGCAGAGGTGCATCTCAGAAATTCGTCTGTGGGCGCGAAGAAGCGAGCGGGTGGTTCTCCATTCTGGTCCGAGCCCGGCGAGGACGAGTGTCACGAAGCTTTCTTCAGTGATTGTACCTCCGCACCGAAGCAGGCGGTCGCGGAGTGTCTGGCAGCGACTCATATACTCCATCGCCTTTTCCCCGGTCTTCATTTGTATTGTTATCAACTACTCCATGAGTCTACTTTGTGTCACGCTGTCGTTTGCTTGATAGAGACATTTCAGATGATGCCAGGTGAGCTCCGCGGAGTTTCCGTAGCTCCGATACGTTCTGATGCTCTGTTGCTCTTGTGGTGACAGGTTTCGCCAGCAGCGACTGATAAGTGTAAGATTTCCTGCTCCTTTGCAGTGCCATTGCTTGGAAATGGCAGGGACCCGCTGAAGTATCCCAAGAGGTGTGCGGCCTCCATCAGCGGCTCGAACTCAAAACTCCAGGTAAAAAAGTCGTGCCCGTTGAACAGTGAGGATGTCTGCAGTTTGATTACATGTGAAAACTGCGCCTAGAGACTTAATATCTCGTTTGGTGTTTGTTGTGATGCAGCTGCTGTCGGTTGAGCACGGGGCGGCATGAACTCGA